GAACAAGAATTACAACATAGAAAAAGAAGATTAGAAGAAAATATTTTAGTAGGAGTATGTAATAAATCAATATTAGCACAAAGAAAAGTTATGTTTATGTTAGAACTAGAAATAGATTATCTTGAATATAAGTTACAACATAATATAATACATAAATTATAATGAACAAAGAAGAATTTGCAGTAGACGAAAAGACATATGAAAATCAAGACGGAATGATAATAAAAATAATATTTTCAAATCTAGGAAGAAGATATAAGAAAATAGGAAATAACCTATATTTAATGTTAGAAAAAGAAACAACAAAATTAGAAGATAGTTTAACAGCTATGATAAGAATAACAAAAGAAAATGAAGAAATAGACAAATCAAAATAAATTGAAAAAATAAAAATACAAGTAAAACAAGAAGTACAACATTTAGAAGAAATAAAAAATACAAGAATAAGTGAATTAGAAAAAGAATTAGCTAGGTTAAAATTATTATATGAAACTAAACAAAAACAAAAGGAAAAAGATAAAGAACTTGAATTAACTAATGAAATAACAGAGATGGAACAAAAACTAAATGAAGATCTTGAAGTAAATGAAATAAACGAAAATGAATCAGATAGAATAAATGATCAAAAATCAGAAATAAGTGAGACATTTACAGAAATTCTAGAACAGGTAAATAAACCAAAAAAATTAGAAATAAACATAGGAGATATGAATAGACCTAGTACGTCAAGAGTTAAAACTCCAAACAATAGTCCCAGAAATAGTCCTAGAATTAGTCCCAGATGGACACCACCAACTTCTTATACAGAAAGTTATCAACAATCAGATAGAACTAATACAATATGGAATAGTAGATTAAATAAAAATTGGATACCAAAACCAATAAACGAACAATATAATTTCTTAGATCTAGATTGTGTTACAGATATAAATAAAACAATATTACTATGGATAGGAAATATGTCTAAGCAACTAATAGATAACAAAATAAAAACAACAGAAACACCAAGGTATATAGAAAGAACGTTTGTAGGAACAACAAGATTATGGATAGAAAATCTACCCTCAGAAAGTTTAGAAGTACTTAGAAGTGACAAGAAAATAGATGGATCTCCATCAGCAACAAATATAGATATACTAGATAAATATGAATCAGCAATAAGAAGTGAATTTGGTAGTATGACCACGGATATAAGAGAATAAAACAGGGAAAAAATAATAAATAGGCAACTTATGACAAAATTAGCTATATGTAAAATGTGTTATGTAGAAGAATACACTTGTGCATTTAAAGAATATTATTACAAAGCAAAATACAATTTTGATGAAGCAAAAGAAATAAGAAAACAATATTTTACGAAATTACCAGAACCATTTAGTACAAAAGTAATAAAAGATTGGAATGATGAAGGATTAATAGATACTTTAGGAGCAAGAATAAAATTTTTACATCAATGGTTCATACAACTATGTGAAAATCAAAAAGAAAAATTAAAAATGGAAAAAGTACTAAACAAAAATTTAACCTGTTGTAAAAATAAAACAGCACCACAGTTTGGATGCATAACAAAAAATTATAAAAAGAAAAAACCTATGCAATATAAAAATTATAGAAAAACTAAAACTATGTATAAATACAAAAAACCAAGACAAAGATATTATGTAAAAACTTATAAAATGAAAAGACCATATAGACCTAAAAGAAAAATATCCCAATGTACATGTTATAATTGCGGAAAGATAGGACACATAACTAGAGATTGTAAGTTACCAAAAGACCCAAAAAAGAAGCAAATTGCAGAAATAATTATAGATAATGACAAATATATGCAAATAGAATATATAGACTATGAACTAAGTGAAAATTATAGTATATACGAAGTATCAGACATAGAAACAGAAAATGAAGAAGAATATATTAATCTAGATAATGATATAATAGACGAAGAAATATAATGTCTGAAGACGATATAAAAATAATATCCAAAGAAAATTATCAAAATGAAGAGTTATCAGACCAAAAAATTATATTTGATAATACAATTTTTGAACAAATAAAAGGAAAAGAATTAGACTTAAGTGTTGAAAAAGTACTTGAAATACCTACTTTAAGAAATTGGTTTAAAAGACAAAAGGAAGAATATTATGTAGTTAGTAAGAAAGAACATATTATAGATTGGAAATATGCAAGAGGAAAAGCATATATACCTATACTAAGTAAACGAATAATAAATAAAGAAATACAAGATATAAAAGCTAAAACACCTATAAAATATGTACATTTAGGAGGAACATAAATATTAGTAAAAGCTTGTTTTAGAGAAGGAATAGATACACCTATTGAAATATATTTAGCAGATGATAGAATTATACACCCTATAGAAAAAAGCGTAATAAGTGCAGTAAAAGGAAATTTAATATACCAAAAATTTAAATTTATAATAAGTGTCAATTATACAGTAGCATTAACAAATAGGAATATAGATAAATCATTAGTATTATATTGGAAAATGTCTGGAATAGAGTTAGCACCAGGCAGTAAAATATTTACAGCAAGATGCAAAAACTTATATATATTAACAGCAAAACATAAAATAACAGCAAGAAATAAAATCGATAAAATAAAAATAGAAAATCCTTTCGAAAAAATAATTACTAATGACTATAGTTATAAAGAAATTGATACAGAAGAAGATTTAGAAATTGTAAAAGAAAGATTAAGCACTTCAAGCGTACCAAATACGTTAACAAGAGCTACCTCATCAAGAATGAGTACATCTAAAAGAAACTATGAAATCCCACAAAACTTATTAGATAAGGAAGAAATAACACCATATCATTATTTCATAACAGGAATAATAAACCAAAGAAAATATAAATCTTAATAGATACAGGACAAGAAGAAAATTACATAACAAGAGAG